TACACGACTACAAAAAAAATTTTTTTTTAAGGAAAGAGAACACTGTACTTTTCACTTAAACTCGGTAATGTCACAAATTCTCATGTGTTCCAAAGGGTGGGCATCCTCAACTCACGAATTCCCAGGAGTCAACCCTTCCTCAGACTGCATTTTCCTTTCTCATTTTGGCCTCCCAACTTGCAATCCCTCATTTCCCTACGCCGTAGGACACTTAAGCTCCCTCTCCTCAAGGTCTGACATGCGCTTCTAGGGGGAAAAAATAACACCCGCGTTTTAAACCTTGGGTGTTCTAACCCCAACTTTCCAAGAAATACGAAAAGCATGACCCCCTACCTTTTGTAACCCGTAATTCTTAAAGTGGCCGGGAGAGGCTCCCTGAGCGCTTCCATGAACCGGTCCCACTCGCCTTCGGGCACGATCTTGAGTTCCTGATAGTAGTGCTCGAACAGCTTGTTCTCCTTGACGATCTCCGGGTACCCGCCTTCCCAGCCCTGAGGAATAAGAGGGACGTGTGCCCAGGGCCGGGTAGCCCCCACTTCGCCGCCCCGCAGGCCTGGGGATCGGGGAGGCTCCCGCGGGTCCCCAGCTCCTACCGCCCCACTGCGCTTCCCGCCGTCCTCGGCGCCGTCCTCCGCGCTCCCGGGTCGCTGCTGTTGCTGCTGCTGGAGCCGCCGGCCCCGCGACCGCCGCCCCATGGCCCACGCGGCAGCGCACGCCGCCCGCACACAGCGAGCCGCCACCCTCGGCCGCGAGCACTTCCGGGATGCAGCTCGAGGACCCCGTGGGTCCGCGCCTGCACCTCTCCCGGACCTGCAGGACCCTTCAGGAAACAAGCCAGAGCGCCGCGACCCGTGCTCCCGGAAAACGACGAGCAGGAGGAGCCGGGGACAGTCCTGAGTGGGAAAGTGGCTCCAGAGAGCAGGCCGAGAGACGCCTGCTGGCCGAGGACCTGGGTTTCCGCGCGGGCTCAGGCGGAGATGCGGACAGCCCGAGGTCACGCGTGCGCACCAAGGCGATGGGGGGCGGAGCGGGCCCGAAGTGGGCGTGGTTCTAGCTTGTGGGCGGGGCGGGTGGCAGACCCGCCTTCAGCCCAGTCCACGGCGCGCCTCTTGGACTGGTGAAACAGGCGGGGTCAGCGTACCCACTGCTTCCTGGCCGCCAGGGCGGCGTGGATCCCGGCCCCGGATTTTGACAGCGGGCCCCGACCTCAGGTAACCGCGCCTCCCGCCGCCCCCGCCGCCGCCCTATATGTGGCGCGTCGCGGCTCCCGGGCCATGGAGCACGCCTGCCGTCCCCCACAATGGAGCTGGCCGAGCGGTTCCTGCTGGACGCGCTCGCCTACCTGGAGTGCGCCCTGGGCTTCCTGTGCTACGTGCTGCTGAAGCTGGTGGGCTCGCCCTACGGGCGCTACGCGTCGCCGCGCTCCGCATTTCGGCTGCCTGCGCGGGCCGCTTGGGCGGTGCAGGAGCTGCCCTCGCTGGCGGTGCCGCTCCTCGCGTGCGCGGGCGCGCCCGCCGAGCGCCTCAGCCGCTGGCCCAACTGCATCCTCCTGACCATGTTCCTCGTCCACTACGCGCAAAGGTGAGGGCGGGCGGCCCCGCGCCTCTCCCTGCCACCCCTGGTGCGCTGCCCTCTCCCTGCCACCCCTGGTGCGCTCCCTTCTCCCTGCCACCCCTGGTGCGCTCCCTTCTCCCTGCCACCCCTGGTGCCCTGTCCCCTCCCTGCCACCCCAGGCTGGCTCCCTCCACCTGTGCAGCAGGGCCTGGCGCCCTCTCCTTGCGCCTCTGCTCCCTCTCCCAGCATCCTCTTTCTACTTTTCTAGTTCCACTTTGGGCTGTTTGCTGTGGGTGGAGGAGCTCTTTTCCTCCAGCCAAATGGTCACCTGCAACTTGGGAGCCTGGTTTCCTCAAACTCCTTGTGACTTCCCCTTTACGATGCACGGACTGTATGGGCTTGAATGGATCATGTTCAGAGACTTTCACCTCCACATTATGCGAGGGCTCCCGACTGTGGAAGGCGCTGCCCTCTCCCTGCCACCCCTGGTGCGCTCCCTTCTCCCTGCCACCCCTGGTGCGCTCCCTTCTCCCTGCCACCCCTGGTGCCCTGTCCCCTCCCTGCCACCCCAGGCTGGCTCCCTCCACCTGTGCAGCAGGGCCTGGCGCCCTCTCCTTGCGCCTCTGCTCCCTCTCCCAGCATCCTCTTTCTACTTTTCTAGTTCCACTTTGGGCTGTTTGCTGTGGGTGGAGGAGCTCTTTTCCTCCAGCCAAATGGTCACCTGCAACTTGGGAGCCTGGTTTCCTCAAACTCCTTGTGACTTCCCCTTTACGATGCACGGACTGTATGGGCTTGAATGGATCATGTTCAGAGACTTTCACCTCCACATTATGCGAGGGCCCCCGCGACTGTGGAAGTGGCTTTCCAAGAAATAACCTTAAACACACATGAGGTCTTTACACTGACTTCCAAGTGTTTCGTTTTTGTGAAGAATGCTCAATAGCTGTGTCTGAACTGTTCAGGTCTCATAATAAGTTGGGACTTTCTCCAGCTCTTAGGTTTTGGCTTTTATACCGCTAAACCAAATGGCTGGACAAAAGTTTAAAATCAGAATTTGAAAATGTGTATTCATACTTCAAAAGGCTGCCAAGTTATAAAGGGCGTTCCCTGCTTGTGAGAGACCTGGGCTCACCTGCTCTGTGAACGTGGGCAGTTTACTTGACCTCTGTGATCGTGGGTCCCACCCCACTACGCCCACTTCATAAAGTGGGACAGGAGGAAGTGTGGGTGTCTCTAAGCCTCTCTTGAGTCCCTGGCACAGCTGTGTCCCCATCTGCTTTTAAGCAGGTGCGGGAAGTGGGCAGAGTCAGTGTTACACAAGGCTTTCTGGGTGCCCTGTTTCTGACACTCCTAGAGAATTCCAGTAAGCAAAGTCGTTACCAGACTCATGGAGGTTCTGTAATGTGATTGGGCATTACTGCAATTTGCATATCAATAGAATTCTCATGACTACATACATTTCTCCATAAATATGCCAGAACCTGTGTCTGTCTGTTTTTGTCACAACTAAAAGCAAGCCGTAGGTGTTATCTCAACCACATCACTGGTGACTGGTGAGGTAAGTTATTAAGCTGCTCTGCAGCAGATTGCCCCATCAATGAAATTGGCGTAGCCATGGTACCAGCTACCCACCAGTGGGATTGGCATGCATATTAAATACTAAAGGCAACTCCATAAAATGCTTGTGAGTTTCTGGGAAATCTGAATGCTCAATGGTGACAAATAACACCACTTTATATCACCATGCAAATGGGCGTATCCGCATACACACTCTGCATGACATTTGTGCACACTGCAGCCAGCTTCAAGTGCCAAGAAAAAAATCTGAAGACATTGAAAGCATTGGAAAGATGTGAAGGGAGCACTTTACAGAGCTTTGTCTGAAAGCCTGGAGTTGAAGCTTTTTGATGTAAGGTATCATGTGTAATTGCATCGGGGCTCACTCTAGTGGGAGACGGGATGCGGCCTCCCAGAGGGCCGAAGTCGCTTCTGCAGATAGAACTGGAGTAGGTCCTTAGATACAGATGAGGCCACAGAGCCACAGAGTTCAGGTGTTTTATCCAAGGTTGTTGGATGAGCGATTGCCGGGACTAACACCCTGCTCCCCTCCTCGGTTTCTAGACGGGTGGCTTCAAAAACTCTGCTCCAAAGGATTTGCCGGGTCACGTGTAGTTTTTTAAACTGCTAGGCTATTTTTTTTTCCCCAAGTTGTTCATGTTACTATACACATATCCCATGTGGTTTGGGGGCATTTAAGTTTTTCCAAATAGAAAAGATAAACATCTTCCATTCTACCCAAGCAACTAATTTATTAAACGGTCATTTGACCTAAGTCGGTGAGCTCTTGGACGAGAACGGAAGTGCAAACCACATTGAGCGCTTGTTCCAAACCACTGAACTCCTTGACCCAGAAGCTGTTTCTTCAGCCCCTCATTTGTCAGGGCTCTGTAGGCCAGACAAGACAGTAAAAAGGCAGACAGGTGAATCCAAGCCTGAGTCAGGCTAGTGGCGGGAGAAACACAAACCAGGGGACATGCTTGGGAGACACGAGACCGAGTGGGCAGCAACTTCCAGAACTTGGCAGACGTGTGCCGAGGCCCTGTGCTAAGATGTGGGCTGGCACAGGAGGGAGGCGGCGCCCCGCCTAGGGGAGCTTGAGCCTCTTGAGGACTGAAGCCAGAAGGAGGCTTCCCATGGTCTGTGGGAAGGGGTGTTTGCCTGTGTGTTTTTAGCTCTTCATTCGGCACACACTGACTACGGATTGTTTGATGTGTTTGGCATTCTACTTATCGTTGGGTGTACAGAGTTGAGATGTTCTCGTGAGTCAATGAATACAGGACAGACTCTGGAGAATCAACAGGATCTTTGGGGCACAAGAGCCAGGGATGGGAGGGAAGGCCTGCCTAGGAGGGCAAGAGGGGACAACTGTGGGATAGAACACACCAGGGCCCTGACCAGCTCCCCCAAGGATGGTGAAGGATGTTTGTAGTAACTTTTTTTTTAAACTTTTTGGCTGCACTGTCTGACATGTGGGATCTTAGTTCCCTGACCAGGGATCGAACCCTTGCCCCCTGCAGTGGAAGCACAGAGTCTTAACCACTGGACCACGAGGGAAGTCCCCGTAGGAAGGGTTTTTTTAATCTATGGCAAACCACATGGTTGTCCCGCCAGCGGCCAGTGGCCTTTGCATCCTGTCTGCACTGAGGTCACCTCCTGTTGGTCACGGGCTTCTGAGTTCCCTAGGGCACCACCGCATCTTCTCACACCGCCCTTGGTTTCGTGTGTGTGGAGCGTGTCCGATCTCTCGCCTTCTCACCTGAGGCAAGTGTATGCTGGAAATGGGCAGTTGCCTGTTCTCAAGTCAACTCAGAGCTGCTCTGCATTTGTCAGAAGCCCAGGTGTGGCTCCCTCAACCCCATCTCACCTCGTGTTCTGCTGCTTTCTGTCCAGCCAAGCAGGGATTCGATATGACCCGAACCCAGGGTACCTGTGTCACAGATTTTCCCTTTCCATTCAGCAGTGAGTGAGTGAGTCACTGATTATTTCTTATCAGCTCCTCTGTTTAACAGTAGTTACAAACCAAAATCCCACTTGAGCCCTGAGCTGTTTATTTACCACTGGGGCCCCAGTCACCCTGAGGCCACAGAGGAAAGGTGCCAAACACCCCCCTCCCAAGTGTGCAGACTTTCAAACACCCACCCCAAGGTCTGTGCTCAACCAGATCTGTGACCTTGTGGGATCTTGATTCTGTTGTCATCCTTGATTGCAATGCCTCAAAGCATTGCACCTCACCTACTTCAGGTTCGTCGTTCCTCCAGCCGGGGCCTCTTAATGGTCTGGGGAGAGCCTGACCCAGCCTCTCTTTTAACTGTGTCATAAAGCATGTATAACATTAAAACACAGCAGAAGACTGGAGAGGGTGAAGGGCACACCAAATCCTTGGCCCTTGCCTTGTGGATTCAAATAATTTAAGAAAAGGAAAACTTTTATGTCAATGTATAGAATGACAGAAAGTAAAGTATTCATTGTGTCTGTGACCTTGCCTTGAAAGGGCAAAGTGCTTATTTAAGTATGTAGCTTTACTGCAGTTTAATCACTACAGGGAAAGA